ATGAATGTGCTTGGGACATTGGTAAGTCCAAATGGCATAACTAACCACTCATATAGACCAAAAGAAGTCTTGAAGGCAGTTTTCCATTCATCACCTTGATTCATCCGAATTTGGTGATAGCCACTTTTTAAATCAATTTTTGAAAAAATTACAGAACTACCCAAATTATCAAGCATGTCATCTAATCTAGGAATGTGATGACGATACTTAACTGTTATAGCGTTGACGGTTCGACGATCCACACACATGCGCCAACCTCCATCTTTTTTTGGCACCAATAGGACAGGTACAACACTAGGACTTAGGCTTTCACGAATCCAACCTTTGCTCAGTAGATCCTCGACTTGCCTTTGTATTTCTTTTACCTCATCCGGGTTGGCTCGATAGGCTGGCCGATTAGGAATTGATGCTCCCGGGATAAAATCAATTTGGTGCTCAATTCCACGAGTGGGTGGTAAACCATGGGGTACTTCATCAGGAAAAACATCATTATACGCCTACAATAAGTTAGAAAAACTAGATGGAAGTTTCTTAGAGTCATTCATGGAAAAATAAGAAGGTTTAGAAAGTAATAGCAGACAATGAACTCCATGTTCTAAGTGTAAAGCTTCCTTCCTACACATAAAAAGATTAGACCTCTCACTCTTGTGTTTAAGATTCCAGCTGGTTTCACCCTGAATCACTACACTCGTGTTTGATTTTTGAGTAGAAGGGTAGAGTATTTGAGAGTGGCTCGGGGCAGATGTATTTATTGGTAAGGATGAAGATTTGAGAGGTTGTGGGGTAGTTAGGCTATATGAAAGAGTAGATGCACTTGTATGCGGAGTACCTTTTGTTGCGAGTGATTCTAAGGAGGGCTTCAAGTTGGATTCCTCACATAGAGTTGATTCAGGGACATAGCCCACCATCTTGTTGTATTTCCTTTGATTCCTTTTCTCTCTTGCTTCAGCGGCAAACTGCTTGTACAAGTATTTTTGATCTTCATTTACTTCTCGAGGACTCAACGGCTTTAGAACTATGGTCCGTCCGGCATGTGTGAAAGTATATCGATTACGGCGGCCATCATGTACAACTTCTTTGTCAAATTGCCATGGTCTCCCAAGCAAAGTATGACATGCTTGCATTGGAACTACATCGCATTTTACTTCATCCTTGTAACCTTGTAGTTCAATTTCCACCAACACTTGTTTGGTGACGTTGATTTCTCCACAATTATTGAGCCACTGTAGTTTGTAAGGCCTCGGATGCAAATTCATCCTTAAATTAAGTCTTTTCACTGCGAGGTCACTAATGACATTAGTACAACTACCACCGTCAATGATAAGACTACATACCTTAGTCGCGATCTTACACCTTCCATGGAATAAATTTTCGCGTTGTTCGGTATCGTCAACCTCCTTTGGAAGAGTGCTAAGAGCTCGGAGAGTGACTAACGTCAAATTGGACTCCGGTATGGATTCTACAGCTTCCTGGTGGTAGGAATTTGCCTCAATGACCTCTTCAGTTTCTGATTCGGATTCGTACTCACCGGAGATCGTAAGAACCATAGTACGCTTGTTTGGACATTGATTCGCAAAATGTCCTCGGCCTTGGCATTTGAAACATAACACATCTCAGCTACGGGTAGTGTTCTTTGGGGCCCGTGTGTTGGCGGCTTAGGGCGCGTCGAATCAACTCCCACTATCTCTTTTCCTTTGTTGATATGTTGTGGAAGGGGCGCTTTAGGAAACCCTACAATTGGAGAAAGTTTAAACGGATTACCTTGCATCCGCTTTGATTTTAGTTGCTTCTCCACCTTTATGGCCAAGTGTACCATCTCCTCGAGGTCCACGTATTGGTACATCTCTACCGCATCAGCAATATCCCTTTGAAGCCCAATCGAGAATCTAGACATCGTTTGCTCCTGATCTTCATGGATATCGGCTTGTAGAAGAAGTTTTTCAACCTTTTTATCGTACTCCTCCTCCTTGGAATGGTGGCACTTGGAACTTGATCGAGTTGATCGCCTCTTCTCCATCCCGTCGGTGATGGTTATTATGATGCCTAGGTCGTTCCCAATTTCCTCCAAACTCCTTATCATCGGGTTCGTCAGTGTTGTGCGGTGATGGGGGCCGGATGTTACGTCTTGGCCTCAAATGCGGTTGAACATCATTTCGCCTCTGAGCTTCAGGTAACGGTCGGATATTCTCTTGTAACTTTTGTTGATTCTCTTCCAGTTGATCCATCCTATTATTCATCAACTCCAATCCAGAATGATGAAGAGTTTTGAACTCTTGTAGAATGGTATTGAGAAGACCTTGTACATCAACTTGTTGAGAATTGGATCCTTCACCCCCTGCCATTAGAAAGAGACGAAAGAAAAAAAAAAGAAAATAACCTCACTAGAACTCTCGTGTATCACTGCACACCTTATGTACCTCTCCGTCTCGCAAAAAGGACTCAAATCAAATCGATGGAATTCTTCCAAAGACGATAGCCAAAAAATCCAAAACAGTAGGGAAACCAAAAGAAATATAAGTTCAGAATGAAGGTAGAAGACAAATAATCTAAATAGATTTTTTTTTTTTTGATAAAAGAAAAGATGATTCGAGAACTAGAAGTAAATAACAAATATCTTTATATTTGATAATAACTTTTTCTTTTTTGCCTCTTTTTTTCGTTTTTTTTTGCTATTTTTTTTCGACCTTTTTTTTTTGCTTTATTTTTTTCAAATAAGAACCGTGATATTAATAAAGAGATTGTATCAACTAGCTCTGATACCAGATGACACGACCCGACCGCGTATAATTATAACCAACATAATTTTCTTACCCACGAAGTTCAATAGAACAAATGGATTAAGAATATGTATAAAAGAAAAAAGAAGGAAGAAGAAAGATAGTGCAGAGAATGTGAATTAGTATAGATGATAACCAACCACGAGAATAAGTCTCGGACCTGAAATCAATCCATAGGTAAAACACAAACAATAGGCTAAATCCCACTACAAAGGATTGGAAGCCACGTACCGATGAAATCACTCCAAAGACCCGATTTGAGATTCTAAATGCGAGGAAATCACTCCCTAACACTAGAAAATTATAAAAGTGAAATTCGATTCAAGATGTAAAAAAGGTGCGCATTACAATGATAGGCAATGACCTTATATAGAGGTCCTTGAGGAAAATAAAAGGCAACAAATAATAAAGGAAACAAACCAAAAGGTAAGTCTAACTATAAGGAAATAAATAATTAAGAAAGTTTTAGATATGGAATTATACTATATGGAAACTTATAATTAAAGGAAATAAGTGATGATTCCCTTGATATACTTCCATGATTAGTGATTCTCTCCATAAGTGATGATTCCCTTGATATACTTCCATGATTAGTGATTCTCTCCATAAGTGAGGATTCCCTTGATATACTTCCATGATTAGTGATTCTCTCAATAAGTGATGATTCCCTTGATAACCTTCCATGATTAGTGATTCTCTTGATCTTTCAATTGGGATTCTTGCGGGTCCCATTGAAAGAGCGTCAGGTGAGGGCTAAGTGGTCTCCTAGCATCATCCTTAAATTGATTCTCCATGAAAAATCGTCTGATCAATGCAGTGACGGATTTTTGAAACTGACGAGCTCGGCTTCGAGTGATGGGTCCCACGGGCATTTGAATGCTTGAAGATTGGACGTCCTCGTCAGCTTTTCCGCCTTTTGGGGAGTTTCGGTCTCCATGTGGGTGATTTGATCATCGTCTTTGGAGTTGATATCTTCTTTGGATGATCCACAACTTTGATCTTTGAGGAGGTAGATTTGGTGCTCCATAACCTTTTGGCGGTGTGGCCCTTTGACTTTTGGATCGAAGAGGGCCGAGTTGATGCTTTGGTGAAGAACGCGATGAACACCTTGACGCTTTGGGATGAACTTGAGAGGCTCTTCCTTGGCTTAGACGAATTCTTCAATGGCTTTGTGAGCTTTTTTTATTTTTTATTTTTTTGATCGAAATGGCTTTGTGAGCTTTGATTCTTGAAGAGGTGGATTTGGTGCTCCATAGCGCTTTTGGTGGCATGTCCTTTTGACTTTTGGATCGAAGAGGGCCGAGTCGATGCTTGTGACGAAGAACACGACGAACACCATGAACCTTTGGGATAAACTTTGGATGCTCTTCCTTGGCTTTGATGGATTCTTCAACGGCTTTTGGAGCTTTGATCCTTGAAGAGGTGGATTTTGTGCCCCACAACACTTTTGGTAGCGTGTCCCTTTGACTTTTGGATCGAAGAGGGTCGAGTTGATCATTTGGTGAAGAACGCGATGACTACCTTGAAGCTTTGAGATGAACTTTGGAGACCTTCCCTTGGATTTGACGAATTTCTCAACGGCTTTGGGAACTTTGATCCTTCCTCCGGTTTGGGCATACGACGAAGAACGTTAACTTCATCGATTCGTGTCCAAATCAGTGACCTTCGACGAAAAACGCTTCGAAGGACACGAAGAACATGAAGGACAATACAGAGAGAGTGTAGAGACTTACCCCTTTACTTGAATCCTCGATGTAACTTCGATGTGCTAAACGAACTGGCCATGGCTCCTGTTTATAGGGGAGGGGTGACCTCGGCTTCCTTTTTGAATGATGCCACATGGCGCGTTCTGATTGGCCAATAGAAAGATTTTATAATCTTTCATTTTCCATCAGATGTCATTTTTCATTCTTGACGGATTTGATTGTGCATCTTCCTTTCTCGCCAAGATCTTTATATCATTGTCTTTTTTCGGAAGATATTAATTTATATACTTCATTTATTGATAAGATTAATTTATTCTGTTGCCAAATTTATTATGGCTTTATTTATGCACATAATATTTGTACGATATCTTCGATTTTAAGCGGATTTTTGCATTAATGGTTGATATTTTTATTGTACAAATATTAACATATGTGCATAATTAAATACCATATATTTATTTTATTGAAATTTTATTTCTTTCAAAATACATTAATTTAGACATTTAATTTTTAATGGGGGCAATAGTAGTTTCTTATTGTATATTCCACATTAACTGCTATAAAAATAAGTCATAACCATTCGAAAATTAATAAAAAAATATCATTCTATAAGGTTGGTCAACGAGCCTCTGGCATAGGCACTGGGTTGTATGGACCGCTGTCAAAGATGGTAACATCTCCCGGTCGTGTCAGCACAATCTGGATGCCAAGAAATTTTATATAACATAACTAAATTTAGTTAGGCGTCAAGTTCTATCACCACATGAAATATAATAATCAATGACCATTAATCTCATATATATATATATATATATATGTATACCTGGTAATCTCCGATCATACAAAGTTTGAATCCGGCAGCACAGTAGTCGAGATAATATTCCCATGTCCTTACAAACTTCTCATCGAATCCAAGGGCCATTACTTGACTGAAAACACCACACATTCCAAAAAAAATTATTAATTTGGAACTAAACTATTTATATAGAGTGTAATAATGCAACATATATGTATATAATTATTTACCTTTGATTTTGAAGGAACTTTTCCCTCCAGCGCCGGAGAGTGGGAAAATAATGACATCCTATCTCTTCTAGGTGTACCACACTACATACAAACATTAATTTGTAAAAGTGTAATTAAAATGTACTAGTATGCTTACCTTAAAAGAGTCCGTCCATGGAAAGAGAGGTTTCTAGCTATTTGGTTATTATTTGGAATGTTTGATTATATGATGATATAAGGTTGATTACAAATATATGAAAAATGTATGTCTAAATGTCATATAAGTTATGCCTCAACAGTATAGTCATTATAGATGTCATATATATATATATATTATTGCACTATTAATATAAATCATGTTTTATATAAAAAAATTATTGAAAAAATTAATTACAACCCACGATCTAATTTCAAAAGTTGCACCATATTCTCTTATGATTTAAAAAGTGGATAAAATCTTTTTATATTTTAAAAGGTATTGCATAGAATCCCCTAAAAAGAGATTTTCTGTAGTATTTATTAAAACAAAAAAAAAAAAGAATAATGCAATTTTTTAAATCACTAAGTATTTTTGCCTTGTTATTTAAAAGAAATGTGGAAATATGAGATGATAAGTAGATCCAATCTTTGAAATTTTGGAGATAACAAATGTTGAAAGCATATTGCGACCCAAAGAGGAAATGACAACCAAAAACAAACTTTAATTCTTCAAGTAGTGTAATGCACCATATATATATATATAGGAGCAGGGATTTGATTTACCTGAGTGTTGATCCGGTGGCCATGGCGGAGATTACTCGGTTGAGTGAAGGAATACATCCACCCGGGAATATATATTCTTTGATGAAGCCAGGGCTGTGCCTGTACTCGTTGTACTTTGCTTCTGCCATTGATATGAACTGTATGGAATGGATAGAGCAGCCATGAAATACCCAAGCAGTTTTTTTGCAATTAAGAAGCCATTATATTGTGCAATTACATAAAATGGTTAATGTTACCTGAAGAACAATAATTCCATTTGGGGCTAATGCAGATTCGCAGCACCTGAAAAATGTGTCCATGTATTGATGCCCCACGGACTCTATCATCCCACTGTAACGTCACAACTCTCAATAAAAAGAATATTATATTGATGGTGGTTTTGTACGTACTAGTAGGAGTTTTCAGAGTTTAATTGGCATAATAATAATTAAGTTACCATGATATTATTCTGTCATACTTAGGGCCCTTAGGTAATTCACGGTAGTCGCACAGAATAATTTCAATCTTATCCTGCAACCACAATGAGATCGATGTTGAGAATTAAGTGGGGATGGCTTTCTACAAAATACTAGTAATTGTTGAAATGAATATATAATAAACTAAACATTCACCTCCAGACCAGCTTCCTTCACTTTCTGCTGTGCATACTCAAATTGTTTTTGGGACAAAGTAATGCCAGTGTATTTGCATCCGGTAAGCTTGACTGCTTCGAATGCCAAGCTTCCCCAGCCGCACCCAATCTCTAGTACATGCTGCTCTTTGCTGATTCTTGCCTACAATTGGAAACAATATATATACCAATTAAACTTAACCTTTTCCAAAGGCATTGGGAGTGTTCAAAATGGTTTACCTTTTTGATCAAAAGATGAACTTTTCTAAGCTGTGCAGCCTTTAAGTCTTCATGCGGATTCTTCAAACCAACCAACAGAGAAGAGAGCATGTATGTACATAATAAAGTAGAATCTTTAATTTTAAGAATCATTAATGCATAAAAATAGATACGTACTAACCTCAAATATAGCACACGAATAGGTCATAGTCTCGTCAAGAAATAGTGAAAATAGTTGGTTGCTCTGGAAAGAAGATGGGAAACTTGAGATTGGCGTATCTTTATTGATCAGTAGTCTTACATGCAGGGAGGGAAAAAACATACTTACAAGGTCATAATGCTGTGAGATGTTCTTACGAGCGCCAGACACTGTGTTATACCTCACCACATGCTTGAAGAAGTATTTGGCTGAAGCAGCAAGGGAAGTGTAAAGCATTGGTGTCCACCATCCCCTGTGCACCAGGTAATCTTTGACTTTAATTCGCAGCAGAGAAAGGAAAGGAGTGTATCGTACGTTGCATACATGATTACCTTTTCCTTTCCAGTTTTGAGGTTTGCGTGTATAAATCTGTGTTGATCGAAAACATCTGCAGATCCATTCGAAGGTTAGGATGTCCTATTTTCCTCTAATCAAAAGAAATGCTTTTTGTTTAATTACATTGCATTACCAGGAAACAGTTGAGAAGACCTTCATTCTTATCCAGGAATGAACTATCGCCATTGATGTAAGCATCTGCAAAGCCTAAATCTGCTTCTGTTGCAACCTACAACAACGCGTGGTAACAGATTTTATTCTACCTGTTGTTTCAATATATATAAAGCATTTTTCCTGCGTGCAAAAGGCAATATTACCTTCCAGTAAAACTGGGGGTTGTGTACTCTCAGAACCACTTTTAAATTGCTCTTTTTTCTACAACCTTTGAAGGCAAAAGTTGCTCCGCCATCTTCCATTAAACTGCTTCGCCGCAGTTTGTATTGGGTGTGATATAGAAATTAAGATGAGTTAAATTAATGTTGCATCTTAGTTCGATTACGATCTGAGACTGTGTAAGAACCTTACATTAGGAAACCTGAAGCAATGAATCGTTCGAAAAACCTTGTAACTTGAAGGCGCGCCAGAGTTTCGGGCCAGGATGGGACTAAATGTTTTAAGGTGTTGGCAACAGAGAAACTTTTTTGAAGCAATGTATTTGCAACAAGCATACCAGCCTGTGGTGATCAACATACGGATTGTAATATCTGACATTGACATATATAGGTGGCTTTAAGTGTGGAGCATTGAATTCAAGGATGGAGGTTCATGTACCTTTATGCTGTCTTCCGGGAGGCCATAGGCTGTAAACAGTAACAGGTTAAAGCACACTGAATGAATGAAGAATCAAACTCTGAAAAAGCTTGTATAGATAGTGGCAGGTGCACCTTGATATGATCCACAGAACCAGAGTCCCCTCTTTCCTTGTATGAGATTGATGAGCTCAGATGAGGCTTTTGATGCAGCAACGGAAGGTATTGGACGGCTGGTCGACCCCTCAAACACAATGCCTATAGGCCTGTGAGTCTGAGGTGGACTTACCGTCAACAACAATGGGGGCTTTGTCTCACCTATATTCTGTGAGTTAGTTAGTTATTGCACTAGCTAATTAAACTACAAATGAGGTTCACTGTGAAAGGACAGAAATAATAATAATCTTAGGTACTTGGATGTTGTTGAGCCAGTAGGTAATGTAAGCTTTGTTATCAGCACTAGTCAGAAAATTTGTTGAGCTCCATAGCGATGGGTTCTTTGGCATTAAATTAGTGTCGTGATGGAGGAAGATGTCGCTGCATGCATCATGACAAGATAGGTAAGATATCTAACCAGATGAGTTGCAGAGAATATTGGAGCAACTGTACCTGTAGGCATAAGGAAATGCACCAAGTATTCGCAATTGGTCGTATGTTGCCTGCTCCCCTAATAGTTTCACCGCATCAGGAGCACGCGTTGCAATTACGCAACAATCATAAGCTCGTTCCATTCCATCCTTACAGGTTACAATACAACCTGCACAATTTTCATTTCTTGTGTGAATTCTTCTTCTTGCAGCAACCAAGAAGGTAGCATCATAGTAATTAGTATATAGCCGACAACAGAATAGATCAGTTATTGTCTTAGGTCACCATTTTCATTTGTTGAAACTGAATGTACTTGGGAATTGGTTCTTATTCGACAGCCTCTACCTTCCAGCTCTTTCTCAACCTAAATGTTTGCATTCATCAATGTCTTGTGTCAGAATCTAAATTAAACCAAATGCTGAGTGCAGTGTTAAATCAATGATACTACTTTTTCTATTTAGGAATCTGAGACTAACCTTGTGGATATAACTTTGTGAACGCCATTTCACAGTGTGCTTTTGAGGACAACTGAAGAGCTGCTGAGAGAATTGTTACGATGGTCATAGATAGTGCATTGAATCATAGTTATACACTGTTGGAATGCTAAATTTCAATACATAATTCATTACCTGAAAAGTGTGGTGACTGCGCAGAACTGAGAGCACGGAAAATGCAGACAAGTTCATCACTTGTGAAGGGCACGATGGCCACAGCGAAGAGCATGTCGGGATCTGCACAAAGAAAATTTGGAAAGCAAAACTTGAGAGAGAAAGCATTTACTATTTGTTAAGATATATATATATATGCTTACAAGAAAAGCTTTCTGGAATAACTGAGAGTAGTGACCGCGCTGCACAAATTGCTCGAGTGTTTCCTTCCTCTCGATGCCCTGATTTCTTTCAAGCTCATCAATGTAGCTGCAATACGCATATGCATATGTGATGTGATGTGAAATTAAATGATAGATACGTGGATGGGAGCTTTTGGGTTACTCATCACTAACTTTGCCGCATCTTTCCTGAAATTGATTGCTTCACGTATCATTTTCCAGAAGGATAGATTTAGTGCATTTCTCTTTTGTGCAAACAAACTCGACCAGCCATTGCGGTTTCCCCATTCGCATCCGCCTTCATCGTCATCTTCATCGAGGCTCACAGAAAACGACATGCGATTCCAGACTTCGTTGTCCACCCCTAGACTCTCCAAAAATTCCACAACTTCCGGACAAGCAGTAACCTGCTGACCAGGCCAGGTTGTATGTATTTATAGTCTCCATTGTCAACACAACGTTTTGCCACCGCATATAATATATAGACAACAGACACTTGCTTGCTTAGTGCTTACATCTGAAAAATGAAAATACAAATGGTTACTTTACCTACCTGATCAGTGAAGAGCAGAAAGCCCAGATCAAGCACTGTTCCATCATCAACTGTAACTGTCAGCATAGCCTGGCCTTGGCCGCCCAACGCAGCCTCCTTCTCATACACCACTACCTCCACACCCTCTTTCGCCAGCAAGGCTGCCGCCGCCAGGCCACTTATGCCGCCGCCTACCACCGCCACCTTCATTCCCAGCTCTATCTATCTATCTATCTTCCTCACTGTTGGCTTGGAGTACATACACATAATAAATAAATAGTACATGCATGTATTCATATATATATATATATATATATATATATACACAGACGGATCGGGCCTTGGCAAACCTTTTCTTTTTTTTTTTTTTTTTTTCTTTTTAAAGTAAAAATAATTTTTTTTTTTAATTTAATCGATTGACTTGTTTATTTATTTAGTAATGGTGGTTATATTTTATAACAAAATTATTTTTATTTTTTTAAATTATCTTTAATTATTACTCTAACCTACTTTTTAAAATGATGTATTTTAGTTTTTACTTTATATCCACTTTCAATTAAATATTATTATTCATTAACTTTCAATTAGATACTATTACTTCGTGGTGCCTACTCCCAATAAGACATCTTCTTTGGGCAGAGAGAATATATAGTTTTGTCCCCCTATTTCAAATCTATTACTCTATTTGTCCCTAATTTTATTATTTTAATTTATAATATTATATAAAAAAAATACATTTTTTTCATTCTAAATATCATTACAGTTTATCATATTTTTCATATTTTTCTTTTATTTATTTATTTATTTCTTCATAATTTCACTATAGTGTCCAATAAAATTAAAGAAGATAAAAGGACTTTGATTTAATGATACAGTGAACTGAAGATTATGTTATTGTAATTTTTTTTTTTTTACATATATAAACAAGTTAAGTTATCTATTCAAATAGAATATTGAAAGACAACTGTTCGAAATATGCTAAAACTAAATCAAATAATTAAATTAAAATAAAATAAAATTAGCATAATAGACCGTTGATTCTATTTATTTAGTTATATATGTATATATATATATATATATATTCATATTTTGATCTACAAGTCCATAAATTCATGAGGTGCCGCTAGGTACGCCATATATATACATAGATATATTATTAATAAATTGGAATTATTATTGCATACCAATTAATTAACCTCTCCTCCTACCTATATATTGTTATTAGCAAGACTAGTTTGAGGCTGATCGATCAGGCAGGCACCGCACGGCACCAAAACCAAGATAACTACTTACTCTCTACTTTAATTTAAGCACAAATATACACAGATTATTATAAGTTTGGGAGCTTAGAATTAATTAGCTTCATGCTCTAGGTAATTTTGTACTTATCGATTGTCATCTTAATTATCTTGTACTGTAGATACGGTTGTGTTAGATGATCTAAAGCTTTTAGGTAAGAATGTCATTCGGATCATCTATCATGGTATCAGGTCCCAGGCCTCGAATTCGAGTCCCACAGTCTCCATTCGATATATATCCATGTGCAATTCTTTAATTAATATTAGTTTTTTTTTATAGTGTATGATTAAAATTCAACAATAACACAGAAAAATTTATATTCCCATTATCTTCTTAACAAAAAGATAAGATGTTATAGTTTACTTTAAAAAATTATATTACCTATGCCCCCACCTTTGCTAATTTTGGTGATTACCCTTTTATTATGTTGTAATCTAAATAGCATGTGGCTTATTGTTTATTCATGTGCTTAATTTGAGGAGTTACATGATGCAAAGTAGAAAAGTTTTATTTCGAATCGGGGTTGTACTTGTCATGCGGTGTTGATCTTGGAGTCTTTTGATCTTCAAGGTTTGATTTCGAGTTTTATTCGTATGAGCCCTATATTGCAAATTATTTATTGCAAACGGAACCTTCTAGAAGGGTTAGGGCCAGCAAATTGGATCTTCTTGTCCCAAAAATAAATTTTATCTCTCATACTATGTGTGTGGGGATAGGGGATGGGGTGTGTTAATGGAACAGAAGATCCATGGGCAGGGCCAGGAATTAGGATCCAAGGGGCTTCAATGAATTTTACCGAAAAACTTATGTTAAAAATCAAATTTTGAATAAAAGGATACATGTATCGTACATTCCAAAATTAAGATGAAGTAATAGAAAATAAATAAATAAAATCGTGTTATTTCATAAATACATAATTGTCTACAAATTACATATATTTTGGATTAAAACCCGTCATATTGTTTAAACGTTTCATTTGATTTTCTTTATGGGTTAATTTATCTTTTCCAATTTGGTTTGAATGGCTTCTTTAGAGAATTTAAAGAAACACTTTATCTTCCATATTATTTCTTTGGATGATTTGAGAGGATTTGATCTTTCAAAATTTAACACTTATATATTGGGCTGCCTATGTGGCACCCTACTTCTAATATGTATGTCTAGTCATCTAAAGTGTCCACGAAAATGGAGATATTTAAATTAACATGTCAATATTAAAAAATTATAGTGACGGCACACAATATTATTACAGATAACAGATCATATATAATATAAATACAATACATAAACTAACAATACGTGATAAAATCTCATACAGAACATGCAACAGTTAATTTTAGCGCACGATGTACTCATATATAATACCATTACAAGTATAAACAATAGAACATGTCTTTATTTCACAAATGTACTTGTATGAAATACATAAATATATATGTTATACACATATTTTACATTTGTTGTTTGGGAAAATCAGCATTCTTTCCAAAAAATACAATATCCGTCTTCATCAAGTGTGTTTGTTTGAAGAATTTGTGTGGATTTATACTATTCATACAAATTTTTTCCCCAAAAATATAAAATCAAACATTTATTTTTTATATTATATTAAAAATCAATTTTATATTTAAAACATCACATCAATATATATTTATATCATATCATACAACTATAAATTTTTTTATTATTCAAATCACAGTCCAAAATCCAAACCTGAAAACAAACCCAACCGCAATCTACACGTCAAAAACAGTAGTGTGATCATATGGGTGAAGATAGCACACACATGAGCAACACACATCTATTATTTAATATTAGAACCAATTGTGAGATAATTTAATTTAAATAGAGCAAAATAGGCATTATAAAAATTATACAGTGTAACCAAAAAAATTAGTATGGCAAGTAAGCAGAGCTAATTACGAAAATATCTAAATGTTTTTATAATTAAAATTATAAATCAAAGAGAATAGAAAAAAAACACACACAGAGAAAGAATCTTCTTTCAAAATATCTTGTAAAGAACAAACAATATAAAATTATTTGAGATTTCATAATTTTTTAGCCAAATTATTATTGAATAATATTAATGTATTGATTTTTTAACTATTACGTACCGTCCAAAATTGACAACTTAGATGAAGTGAAGGACGCCTCGCCTCGGGATGTGAATTGATAGAATCAAAACAAACATTGCAGCCAAATTAGGATTTTAAGAATGTGTGGGTATGTGACATGGTTCGCCGGATCGGCCGAGTCCGGTCCGACTCGGCCGATCCGGAACCGGAACGGTCATTCGTCAAAAATATCCGATATTTGCCCAAAATTTTTCCATCCATTCATATCTTATCTATAAAACCCATTATAAATTTTATTTTTACCGATTTTCTACTTTTTATTCATATTATTCGAACAATTCATCTCAATTCGATCAGATCGGAGAAGAAAACATTTACCAGTGCGCTGAAGAAGAATCGTGGAGGAAAGACCTCTGTTCTGCGTTCGCGTCTGAAGAAGAATTGTGGGGGAGGGGAAGAAGAAGTGGGAGGATTCTGCGTTCGCGTCGGTGAAGAAAATCGTGGGGGAGGGGAAGTTGTTCGCGTCTGAACGAAATCGTGGGGGAGGGGGAAAGTTCTGCGTTCTGCGTTCTGGGTTCTGCGTTCTGGGGGAGGGGAAGAGTTCTGGGTTCTGCGTTCTGAGGGAGGGGAAGAAAGGAGGAAGGTAAATTTAATTATTATATTATTTTAATTAATTTAAATATTTATAAATTTGAATTATTTTTTATTAATTTGTTTATTTAATTTATAGGTTTAATTATTTTAGATTTAATTATTTAGAATAATTTGTTTAATTTATTGATAAATTTAGTTTAATTGTGTTGGATTGTATTTAATTTTTATTTAATCTATATAAATTGAGTTCATTAAAATTAATATTTTAAAATAACTTATAATCTTATTATTTAAAATTAATATTATTTTAGACAAAATTTGTATTAATTGTAAATTTATTGTAAAAAATTAATATTTTAACTATATTTTTTATATAAACAAATTAGTTATCTACTTAAACATATTAATAAACTAATATATAATTTGTCTATTTAATTAATGAATTACTATTTATAAATATTTTAACAATTGTATTATTCAATTACAGAGTTTGTGTAAAATGGCACCGCACAGAGATATTGGTTGGGATCATGCTACTCCTATCAGCAATGATAGAAAACAAGCAAAATGCAATTATTGTGGTAAAATTGTTCACGGCGGAATTACTAGGATGAAACAACATATAGCACATGTTACAGGTCAAGTTGAAGCATGCACGAGAGCTCCAAAAGAAATAAGAGAGTTATTAAAAAAACACTTGATCCAAGGAAAAAGTATGCGAGCAGCACATAAAAAAAAGTTAGAAGCATTGCAAAATTCCATTCGTTTGGAAGATGATTCTGATGAGGAAGAAGATGAAGTTTTTGAAATAAATGAAGATGAGATAGATGCTCTTGAAAGAAAACACTTAAAAAGAGCAATGGCTGAAAGCAGAAATATGGAATTTATGGAGCAGCAGCGTAGACATTCTGTTTCCGGAGATCTACCAAGCTTGAATTTTAAAGCCGGTATATTTATTAAATTTATAAAATATATTTAAATATTAGTATATTTTTTTGAGATAACAACCATATATGATCATATGCTTTTTTTTTTTTTTTTTTTATCTTTGTAGGAGGAAGCAGCTCGAATACAAAATGAAGTAAAAGAAATTTTTTCGAAAGCTCTATGAAAAAGACAGAAGGTTTGCATCAAAAAAAACTTGATCCATACATGTTTCAATCGAAGAATAAGTCTTTGAAAAATATGTTTTCAAAAGATAATGCAAAAAAAGTGGGTAGAGCAATTTCGAAATTTTTTCATTTTAATGCAATACCATTTCACGCTGCCGATAGTGGTCCTTACTACCAAACGATGATTGACACGATTGCATCGGTTGGACCTGGAGTTAAAGGACCTACTGGTAAACAAATTGGTGGTGAATATTTAAACGAGGAGATGCAAGAAGTTGTACAGTATGTTGATTCTTTAAAGCAGAAATGGAAAACATACGGATGTACAATTATGTGTGATGGTTGGAGTACTCGTACAAAACATCCAATCATAAATTTTATGGTGTACTGTGATAGAGATATGATATATCACAGTTCGGTTGATTGTACAAATAAGGCGAAGACTGCGGACTTTGTCTACACCCTAATGGATAAGGTGGTGGAATCAGTAGGGGTTGACAATATTGTACAAATTGTAACTGATAGTGAAGCTAGTATGAAGGCGGCTGGGAAAAAACTGATGAGGAAAAGGAAGCACATTTTTTGGTCTCCATGCGCAGCGCATTGCATTGATTTGATGTTAGAAGACATCGGAGATATATTGTCAGTGAAAGATACGATAAAAGAAGCCAGAAGAATTACAGGATTTATATACAACAGTGATAAAGTGGTTAATTTGATGAAAACATATACGAATGGCCGAGATCTGTTGCGACCAGGCATAACAAGATTTGCAACCGAGTTTGTTGCAATGGAAAGTCTTTTGAGATATGCAACCGATTTGAAAAGAATGTGTACTTCTAGAGAATGGGTTGAGTACAATAATACCTCGAGGAGAAGACATGAAGCCGGAGATATATCAGACTTGATTTTGAATGAAAGATTTTGGAAACGGATACGCCGAGTCTGTGGGGTCATGGAACCCTTAGTGAAGGTTTTAAAAGTAGTTGATCAAGATAAAAAACCTACACTACCTATCATTTATGAGGCAATGGATAGGGCAAAAATGGCAATAAAAACTGCGGTGAAAGATTTTCAACAATATTGGGATATCATCGATGAAAGATGGTATAATCAATTGCATCAAGATTTGCATGCAGCAGGTAACTATTCTTGTTATTTTTTTGTTTTTATATTGTGCTAATCGTTTGTTTTATTTTTTAATTTTATATACATTTCATGCAGCTTATTTTTTAAATCCTGGTCTTCAATACTCCGGCACTTGTGAATTTGATTCATCGGAGGTTCGAAAAGGAGTAAAAGAAGTTATCAAAAGACTCGAGCCAGATTTGGATATACAAGTAAAGGCTATGAATGAGGTAAATTATGTGAAATTTATAAATAATATATAAATATATATATATATTAATTTCTAATAATTTTACTATTATATTGTCTATAGATAAACATATTTGTTAACAAAATTGGAGAGTTTGGAAGTGCACTTGCTATTAGAGCTGTATCTACATCTTTACCAGGTATGTATTATGAAATTTATCATTTAATTATATTTTTAAATATACTTGTTATAAAATGTTGCATTATTAATAATTTTTTATTTATTTTTAATAGCTGACTGGTGGAATATGTACGGTGATGAAGCTCCTAATTTAAGAAAAATTGCATTAAAAGTTTTGAGTCAAACTTGCACATCATCGGGTTGTGAGCGGAATTGGAGTACGTGGGCTTTGATCCATACTAAACTTCGGAATAGATTAGCTATTGAGAAACTGCATAAGCTAGTCTATGTCCACTACAACATGCGTCTTCGGGTAAAAAATTTTATGCAAAGGACAGACACAGACGATTTTTATGACCCAATTGATTTGAATCATATTTTTGATGAAAATGATATTTTAGATGAATGGGTTAGAGAAAATGAATCTCCACTTATTTGTGATAGTGATTTGAATTGGTTGGATGAGGCTATTGAAGAAAGTGGAGATCGAGGTCAAAGTGAGCATAATGATCATGACAGTGATATGCTTTTATCTCAATTTATAGCTGATGGAAAAAAGAAGGCGAAAGAGAAAAAATTAGAAAACAAAAATACGGCCAAGAAAAAAAAAGCAATCATATTGGAATCTTCATCTTCATCGACTAATGGTGAAGATAAGAATAATAACAATGATGATGATGATGATGATGATGATGATGATGATGATGATGATGGTGGTGGTGGTGGTGGTGGTGGTGGTGGTGGTGGTAGTGGGAGCTACAGGGATAGCCGATACTCAAGTGATATGGGATGGGCTCAAGGAAATGAAAATTATTATGCTACCCAAGACACTAATCATGGATATCGTCCTGGTATAGAAGCTCAAAGAGATTTTCTAAATAGTTTAACAGAATTTTCAAGTGAAGCCGATGCTTCAAATTTTTCAGATACTAGGAGATATTCTGGAGTTCACGAACATATGCAAGACTTGAATATAGGTTATTCCTATGGAGATTCTTCTCATAGCTCGAGTAATAGATTGGGGAGACAGGAGTGGGACCAACCAAATGCATATCATAATCCCTATTACTCAGGATACGGTTTATCTAATCTACCCAGACATCTTCAGGATTCAGCCAATCTTCCTATATTTGGATCCAACCAACCAGTTGGAACATATTACGGAGGGATTACATCTGGTTCGGGTAGTATTGATGATCGTAGACAAAATTATGGTTCATCAAGCAGAAGCAATGATAATAGAGAATATCGAGGTTTTGATGTATATGGAAGGGGTTCATTTAGAGAAAATCAATATGGTTCGAACATCTCTCCTTATCCAAGCAATATGAATCCAGAACAAGGATATTCGTAATATAATCGATCAGCAGATGAAAATGATTTTGAACCTCCACGACATTCCACATGGTATTGAATGGTAAGTATAAATATTTAGTATAAACGTAGTTTGAACATTTTATAAAATTTTATTTGTATTTTTTTTCTAATTATTTTTATTTATATAATGCAGATGATAAAGATGAAATCTTGACATTGACGGACACAAGGTACATCATTTTGTTATTAAAATAAATTTATTAGTATAATGACAATATGCAAAACATAAAATTTAGCATTTACATTTATATATATATATCCGCTAATTTAGTTGAAATATTATTCATTTTAAATTTTGATCTATTATAAATTATAATATATTTTTTCAATAATATATATTTTTAAATTAATTATATTTATAATTTGATGTATTTTAATTAATTATTTATTATTTTTTTGAAAAAATATAAATTTTATATAAAAAAATCATATAGGCCGATATTTGACCGATACGCCGCGACCGATACGCCGCGACGTATCTGGAACGGTAAAGGCCGATCCGCGACGCCGATCCGCGACGGCGAACCATGGTATGTGAGGATGTATTTGGCATGTGCAGATGTGTTCCGGATAGAATTGGGAATAGAAAGCACGGAACCAAATATGAACAAGGAATAAATAATTGCAGATAAGAAGATATGGTTCATATAGAATTCGGAACTGACAGTAAAATGGATTGGAACCACCCGGGCGTAGAGAGAGAAATAAGGGGGCCCCGGGTGTGTAAAGTAAAGTAAAAAGGTATTCCGGGTGAGAATGAATCTAGAGAGGAACGGCTACCATGTTGAAATATTATTTCATTTTTCAAGTGTTACTTAAATAAGAGTTTACTAAAATCACTTGTAGACTAAGTCAGAATTTGTTATTAAATTTGTTGAGAGTCTTTTGTAGTCTGTTAACCATTTGAGAATTTTTTGGACTAAGCCTATATATATAGGCTCCAGTATGCTTTAATAAAGATAATTTTAGCAGCAATTTATTCTCATCTTAATATTATCTCCCAGTTTTTCCCAACAAAACTGGTACCAGAGCCAGGTTGCGTCTTCGCCATGGCTGCTCCAAATCTCCCTTCTGCTAATCAATCACAAATACCTGTATTTAAAGGTGAGTCTTATAATTTTTGGAGCATCAAAGTGAAGACCTTGTTTCGATCCCAGGATTTATGGGAATATGTGGAAACTGGGTATGAGGAATTCAAAGAAGATGAAAATCGGAACAAAGAACAGCGGAAGCGTGATGCCAAGACACTCTTTTTCATTCAGCATGCAGTAGATGATTCAATCTTCTCTAGAATTGCAGGAGCCACCACAACCAAAGAAGCCTGGACCACACTAAAAAATGAGTATAAAGGATCTGATCTGCCCAAGTAATAGCAGTGAAATTGCAGACACTCAGACGCACATTCGAGACATCTTCCATGACTGAAATTGAATTTGTGCAAGAATATTTGGCAAAGGTGGGCACAACTGTGGCACAAATGAGGTCCTACGGAGATACAATAACCGACCAAACAGTAGTCGCCAAGATCCTACGGAGCCTACCAGCAAAGTTTGACCATGTGGTGGCTGCGATTGAGGAATCACGAGACCTATCAACCTTCACAGTTGATGAATTGATGGGATCACTTCAAGCACACGAAGTACGGATCAATCGCTTCAACATTAAAGAGGAAGAGAAGGCATTTCAAACCAAAGGAGAGCCTGAACCCTTGAACCGAGGCAGAGGTCGAGGGAACTATTGAGGACGAGGTCGTGGCAGGAATAGTGCACTGAAATGCTTATACTGCAACAAATCTGGGCACATAGTCAAGTACTGTTGGTCCAAACCAGAAGAGGCACAATATGCTGAGGAAAATGAAGAAAACTATTTGTTCATGGCATTGGCGGGTGCACACGAAGAGAAGAACGACCTCTGGTATATAGATAGCGGTTGCTCTCATCATATGAATGGTGATCGCTCAATATTTAAAAAGCTTGATGAGACTGTGAAATCGCAAGTAAGGCTCGGAGATGACCAACAACTAAAAATTGAGGGAAGTGGTATCATCTCGGTTGGAGCAGGTAACAATAAAACTCTCATTAAAGATGTGTACTTTGCTCCAAGTTTAGCACATAACTTATTAAGTGTTGGACAAATAATTGAATATGGTTACACGGTGACATTCGAGGATGATAAATGTGTTGTGAAAGATAAGATCGCCAACAAAATTCTTGTGTGTGCTCATATGTCATCAAATCGAATGTTTGCCTTGGATTTCTCTATTACAACAGAAAGTCCTATGATGAGCAAAACTCTTACCGAAGGTGAATTATGGCATCGGCGATATGGCCATTTATATATAAAAGGGTTGCAGCTATTGAGAAATAAGAACATGGTGAAAAGCCTTCCTATCATTGAGCCTCTAGGCAATGTATGTGAGGCATGCATGGCTGGAAAACAAACAAGGCAGTCTTTTCCTAGCGGAAAGTCTCGGCGGGCCGAAAATGTCTTAGAACTCAGCAATGCTGATGTTTGTGGTCCAATGCGAACCAAATCACTAGGTGGGAGCAGGCACTTCCTTCTATTTATTGATGATTTCAGTAGGATGAGCTGGGTATACTTTTTAAAGAAAAAATCGGAATGCTTTGAGTCATTCAAAGTATTTATGGCCTTGGTTGAGAAGCAAAGTGGAAAGTATATTAAAACACTTCGCACAGATCGTGGTGGAGAATTCACATCAGCAACATTTGATGTGTACTGCAATGAACATGGAATCAAAGCTCCTTACACTCCCGAACAGAACGGTGTGGCCGAACGAAAAAATTGCACCATCATGGAAATGACTCGATCAATGCTGAAACTTCAGGGAATGCCTGACCGTTTTTGGGCTGAAGGAGTGGCTGCTGCAACCTATATTCTCAACCTTTCACCCACG